TCGGAACTCGGAACTCGGAACTCGGAACTCGGAACTCGGAACTCGGAACTCGGAACTCGGAAGTGGCCCTCCTCGGCCATCGTATAATTTGGTCCACCAGCAATGGAGGCCAAATTTTAAAAACTTTTTCACGCAGGCAACAATATCAAACTCACTTTAGACATACATAAATCGAACTTAAGACATTTAAAACAATAACAATATTTCATTTAGCGATTTCTTTTTCATTTTTATGACTTTTCAGACCCGTAAAAAGTGTAAGGTAAGAATTACGTGAAGAAAATCAAATTTGCACAACTCGGAAACAAAACGATGAAACGATCTGAAAATTTCTACACTTAGTCACATCATAGTTCTTTAAAACATATTGAATAATCGAGTTTATAGCATTCATAATTATATATTTCAAAGTAATTTTCGAAACAATGTCGAGCCTTAAACACAGAGCGGGCACGTTCCGTAGAGGTGAATTAATGGAAATAGCGTTAACGCGTATAGCCAAAAGAACCTCACTATGTGAAAAAGTAAAAGATAATCTACAAAAGGGTTTGAGCGAATTTTGATATTTTGAGTATTTCGTCTTTTATGCAGTAAAACAATAACCGGTATTGCAATCTTTCGACGTTCCAACTTTAAAATTTAACAACTTTTTAAAGTTACAAAATATCAAAAATCGCTCACTGCACCTTTTGTATTTTATCTTTTGCATATTCACATAGTGAAATTCTTTTTGCTATACGCGCTAAATCCATGTCCATTAATTCACCTCTACGGAACGTGGCCAATTTGTGTTAAAGGCTCCGGCAATGTTTCAAATTAAAAAAACCGCTTTCAAATAATATTATTTCCTGAATCTCTATTATATGACCTTGAAATCGATATGTGGTTTCATGGGGTGTTGTCTAAAGTGTTGCGAAGAGATAGTCTTAAACGAAACATACCCCTGAAGGTCTCCAGTAACCTTAACATCTGGGCCCAGTTGTTCAAAGCACGATTAGTGCTAAACTCTTGATAAGACCTATAGAGTTAATCCTGGATTAGCGCTAATCCAGCTTTGAACAACCCGGCCCTGGATCTCTAACGAGGTAAAACTTCTGCACGAAATTAAAGATCCGCAAAGACAGTTCTCGCTATTATTGATGTACGGGAGAATTTATTTAATAGCCCACTACAATAACTTGTAGTTCCAAATATTGAAACATTCATTGTTCAGTTTAGTATGCGTGCAAGTTTCATTTATTTTTTTTTGCTTGTAACCGCGAACACGTTGTCATTTTGGTTTTGTTGAAATAGAAGATATTACATGTTATTTTCACGTGTGAAGATATCCCTTTTTAGTATTAGAGAAACATAGATATTTAATCTATGAATTTTTAGTCGGTTTTGCCATTTGCATTATTTGTCCGGTATATAAGATGTAAGATACAGTGATTTTATTTGGTGCGCGAAACGAGATCGTATGAAAAATGGTGATTAACGTACAGGCAAAGTAAGAAAAAGAAGAAAACTAAGGGATTAATGGAATTAACTGCTTTGTATGGTGCTTACTATTACACGTTGACTAGTGTTTTTTATTATATGGATTAAATAAAATGCCTTTCCTCTATCTAGGGTAGCTTCTTAGCTATAAGGAATTAATGTTCTTTCTCGTTTAGCCACGGGACCATTCTCTTCTGTGTTAAAATGAAGTTTTAATATTTTCTAGGCTACGTCCTCTACCTAAGTCCTCTTATTATTATTAATATCGCCCTGTTAAAAACAATTGATATATTAAATATTCATGTTATCATTAATTTGGCTTATCGAAAAAATACCCTGCAAGTTATGAGCATAATTGAATATTTTCAGCTTGAAAAATATTATTGATATATTATATATTATTGCTAATTTATTGRCAGATGCTTAAAATGCTTTTTCAACTCTTTAATGCCGTTTTAAAGCGCAATATTTAACCAGTAACAAAGATGATCGGTGGTTATATTTGTCTTGATTGTAAGCTGCACGCAAGCCAATAGCGCCTTAAGGTTACTGGAGACCTTCAGGGGTATGTTTCTATTAAGGTCTCTCTACGCAACACGTTCAACAAAATCGCCTAATACTATATATCGTTTTAAAGGTCAAATGATAAGGATTTCAAAAATCATATTATTTCAAAGTGACTTTCTAATTTAAAACAATGGCGAGCCTTAAACACAAATCGGGCACGTTCCGTAGAGGTGAATTAATGGAAATACTAGCTATAGAAGATCCTTCACACTCGTGCATGCCAATTTTGAATATATAGCCTTAGCTTTYATGATAAGATGTTCTTTAAATTTGACAATGAATGCTGCATTGTTGCTGCATATGTTCCCGCGCAAATT